AATACAGAATAAAATATAAAACTGTGTTTAAATATATCTCCAGTTTTAATTTATTGAAGTATCAAAAAATGATTTACTTACAACTAATATTTTTTAGAAGTTCGATTTACTTCAGGAAACTGATAAAATTCATTTCAAAATAAATTTTTATGAAGGGATGTCTACAAAAATTCGTCTATTAAAATTAATAAAACTTACCATTTCAATAATTGCTATTTAATACACTATGAATATATTAGTTGCTTCTTCGTATAAGGTTTCATTTCACGAAATTTTGTTAAATAAAACTGATGTAATACAAAAACTAAAATATTTATATATAATTGACAAACACGCCTCAATATTAATATTACTGTAGTATTATTATGTAAATGACATAATAATTCGAACTGGTAATAAAAGGAATTTTTTGGATCATAACCCGTTTCTGAATTATCAGGCCCGGTTGTGGATCCAGAAGTATCAACGCAGAGCTAACTCGGAAATTGAAATATTCAAATAACTAATCAATACGCGTGTTAACTAAATAGAGTAGAGCATCGATTATCCGAAAGAATTTCAGTCGGCAAATTTAAATTTTTGCCAGTGCTGTGGCGCTGCAATCTTTGGCTATGTCTTAGGTTACTACAATATTTTACGATATTGATACCAAATTAACTTCTGAAAAAAATTTTTATTGTTTTTATATTTTTCTATATATTTATTTTGTTTGTACAAAATAAAAAAATAATTTTTAACGATACAATTGTCCTCGTTAGGCTTAAAATCGACAAAAATTCAACGCGACACGACACGCAACGGAAAAAAATTTCAACATCGGATAACATTTTGAACAAAGAAAGGATGTGACACCCGTCAGTTTCCGAGAAAAGGGATGTTAAACTTTCTTTGCACAGGCGACTTGCTGATGAATCAGTTTTTTACACGGTGCAGGTTTACTAACTCCGTATTACCGGCTCATCTCTCACGTTTATATTTAAAAGATTTTTATTAATCTAAATTTAGATTAATAAACGAGTTAACTGGGTCTTGTCTGTCTTTCGGATCAAGTTCGCTAGAATCATTAATAGAAGAATAAACATAAGGTATTATTTTTTATAATTAAAAGTTAAATGATTTCGTGCGAAAAATATTCATAATATTTGTGTATTCTGTAAACGTGTATATCGCATAATAAAGATATTTTAGATGAAGGTATAACATTTTATTTCATTTAATTGAAATTAAGAAGCGTTACAATATTTCTGTTGGTTGACAATAAAAAGTCGTTGCCATTATTTTCCTCTGCATGTTTTTTTAGGAAGGGGCCAAACCACTGCTTGTTCGTACAAGTGTGTGCACCAGCACCCAAAAGCGTAGCAATAGCCGCCACTACCTTTTCCGTATCTGGCTTTGCATTCCCTCAAGCAATAATCGTTGTCTCCCAATTTAAAGCATTCGTATTTGCAGCCCGTGCTCATCTCCACCAGATAACCTTCCTTTGCCCACACTGTTCCTGCAACAAATACAAAAAAATAGTCTTTTTCAACCGAAAGAAATAATACTTATTAATACAATAAAATTAAAATATTTAATACTTTGCACTCAAATGTGTCAAAAATTACATTATTATTGTGCCACATGAAGTATAAAAACTGAAAACAGTCCTGATTATAAATATGCTATTTTAAACACTAGCGAGATGATTTGTCACTTCCTATCAGCGACTTATCGAGCCAGGAAACCGACATTATAATGAAAATCTTGTGGATACAATTTTTTGTAAATCTGAATTTATGATGTTATTCTATTAACACTTCTCTCAAGTCAACGGATAGATTGACTGCAAATGTTTATAGAATTCTATAAATCAAAAAGGAATTGCTAAACTATAATAATTGCCACTCATTTAGACAGGTCAACATATTCATACTTAAATGAAAAGACCATCACTGGTCAAGTAGTAGCATCATTAAACTGATTTACTTTACAGGTCTAACTCTTAACTAAGAGATTAAAGTAGTAGAGTAGTAGAGAATAGATATTAAAATAATGGAGATTAGTGACTCGTAGAATATCTCCCTTACAAGAATATTTTCTTGGCAGATTACCGTTGTGTTGCATTGCCATTCACGAATCGAGTGCAGATCTCATAACACGTAAATAATTCAACTTTAATTGAATTTATGGCATTTCGATCAATTTAATACAAATCGTTCTAATTTTTGAAACACTATGATGAGTTTATTCGAAGTTTTATAATTTTTCAACGAAATATTTCTATGAATTTCGATTTATGTCATATATAAAAAAACAAGCTATAATCTGTGAGTGTTTTCATTTCCACAAAAATGTACAATATAATGTAACAAATAAAACGCGAATTTCGTAACTTTTTAAGAAATGATGCCATTTAAAAAATTAACAACCAATGTCATCAATTATAAGTTCACACTCACCGACCAGGGCCAAACAAGCAGTGATGATCAACAACGAGTTCATCTTCGATGGTATCTAAACGAGTTTAGAATGAGTTACCACGAGCAGAAGTCGATATTTATACACATCCAATGCGAACAGGTACAACGCATGCACGCGGATTCTGCATGTTCGATCCATCTGTTTCCACCAATTATAACAACATTAATGAGCCATTAAACAGAGAGGTCACATTTTCAACTTTCTTTATATGCAGAAGAAATTAAATTCGTACCGAGACCGAAATGTTTATGTGAAATATAAATGAATACAGAAATGTCATTAAATTTTAAAAAACTAAAATCACTTATTTTACTTTAAGTCGAACAAGTTCTTGGAACACTTCACGATCATTTAGATATTTCATGTTTAGTGGCATGTAATAATATCTGGTGATTTTCTCGTTTGTCAAAGTCTGCATACATGAAATATTTCACGTAATTATCGACAAAGATACTTGAAAACAACGAAAGTGAAGATTTAAACATTGAATCTCTTCCTCTAAAGAACTTCAAACTTCTCTGTTAAGTGTTGCAGTTTATGTAGAATAAATGAGAATAAGAAGTATTGATTCATCAGAACAATAGAGAGCGAGAGAGGGGTCATATGTTGAATATATAACTGGAGTAAAGACGAACTTAATGTACATTTATATTTTTTATTGACATTTATTATTTGTTATTTTGTAAATTATTAGTGCAATCAACGCGAACATTTTTAATTTGCAGGCATTCGCTAAAGTCTAGCGTGAATTTCATTCGTTTTCTCATTAAAAATAACCTTTGCTATGTCATCCCCTCTTGAAAACGAAAAATCATTGTCAATTAGAAGTTTCACTGCATGAAAAATAAGTACTAATTTATTAAGTGTATTCTGAAATATTAAGAAGGAATTCAGAACAGGCTTTCACCAATGAATCGATTAAATATTAAAGAACTCGGCCTGGAAGAAACTGTTGTTTNGTAATATGGAACTCAACTCCTCCGAACTCTCTCTTTGCAAGCAGACATTCGTCCGGAGCAATTCAGGAAAAAAAAACACTAGGTAGAAAGTCAATTCTTCCCGAAAATATCGAAAAAGAGCTGCTGGAATATAGATTGTTGATGGAGGTCATATTTTTCTATTATAAAAGCAATTTTGCGATAAAATACATTGGAGTAAATAATTTTGTAATTATTTAACATTTTTTGTCTTTTCCTATTTGTTTTTGGCTACATTAAAACATTTTTTTGAAAATATACAGTAAGGTTCCATATTACCACCCGATTTTGTCTAAGCCTACTTTCGGACTTTTTGTACAAAAGCCTTCAAAACCATACTTATAATTTCACTAGCGAAAAATCCAATTAGGAACATTTAGTTTACTTGTTACCAGTACTTTTCGCACAAAAAATGTAGGTGTAGTTATGATACTTTGTTTACAATTCACTAAAAGGTAATTGGGGTTCCATAATACCACCTTCTTCTCTAATTTTTATATATTTAACTTACAATAATTTTATAAAAATTTACTAGCGGGACCACAAAACTAAGACTGTATATCGATCACTGACAACCAATTGCTTCAGACTTTTTTAAAATGTTCACTAATGTCAAATAAGATTACACTTTCATACCAACCGTTTTATATTCCGAAAAAATTAACGTATGCAATATTTCCGAAAAAATTAACGTATGAAAGTTTTTCTAGACTTTTTTCCCTCAGTTATGACGAACTTTGATGAGATAAAATGAAACTAGATTCGTTTCAAAACAATAATGAGTTTATCACTTAGTCTCATGTGTCAATAGATAATCAATAAAATTATAAATATAGGATGTATTACAGGATTACACACGGTATTTTAAATCAACTAAACACTAGTAGAAAACGGGTTAGCGGCATGGAGTTTATCGCGTTTTCTTCACGTAAATGCACTTCAATATTGTCCTGTTTTTTATACAATGCATTCGATCTCGTCTGCTATGATTTGAAAGACCTCAATTAAATCCGCTATAGCAGTGAAGTTATGTGGCCGAAGTCAACATACCCCTCCTTCAGAGCACTCCTAAAGGTATATGCCAGCAGAACAATGCTCGACCAAGTGTTTCCAGGAATGTTCAAGACTTTTCGAGATATGACAGATACGGCCATTTGAACATGTCTGGGACTGACCTGTCCGTTAATTAATTAACGTCCTCCAGCAGTGAGTACCAGTAAACTACGAATACAAGCAATTTTTCAGGACACCGTTCAAAGCCTTTTCAATTTATTGCCACGACTTACAGCAGCTCATAAAGATGTTACAAAATACTGATTTTATCAATTAATAACTATTGTATTGTTCTCAAGGTGTAATCTCTTATGTACAGTGATATCAGCAATGTATTTTATAACTTTCATCGTAATTGAATAATCATGGTGTTGCAATTTTCACAAACACTAATGTACAATGTAAGTAGATGGCCAAATTGCGACATGGTCAAGTTGCTAGCCTACCGCTCTGTAGAATTAACAACGAATTCGGGTCAAAAAACCACAGAAATTTTTCGGAATTGATCCATAGTATTTATGTCGGGCCCCGTTACTCACAACCCTGCTACCCTATTGTAAGCATTGCCGATTGAGCTTGGTGAAAATGCCCTTATACTGTCCACAGTCCTGTGTGAGGAAAACAATTTGCATACTTCAACGTCTTAGAAATATAAATTGAATAGTATGTCAGGAAATAAGTAACGTAAACGAAACTTTTCACAGGAATGCTAAGTTCTTCATGATCGGTATGTATGAAGTTTTGTGAATTCCTGCTAGAAAATTTTTGTAAAATTATTCTTTAATTTTATAAAAGAAAATACTTTTCAGAATAAAGCATAAATGTTGTTTATTCGCTTAATATAAATTTAAAATATTTCTATCAATTCCAGGAAAATTTTAAATCAATTATGACTAAAGCAATAATAATCTGAGAAAAAATCAAATTCTATTTTTGCATAATTTTACCTCATCGGCGTATAAAATCATGGTATGCTTCTCCCTTTTAGAGAATAAAGTACGAATTTCGTCAAACCAAGTAAATTTTAAACTATGTACACAATGGAGTTTGAAGATCATTTTACTCGATTATTATTCGAATTTTCATTTTTTTACATATTTAATTCGGGTTCTCGACTTCACAATGTAAGTATTGAAATGTGCCACAACATTTTAAGTAATGTAAACTAAATTTTAAGTTAATAAATTAATGTAGTCAAAAGGAGAGAAAAAAATAAAAGAGCGAAGGAAATAATTCGTTGTTGGTTTTAGTTACACAAATTCTATATGGTATAAGTATTGTTACTGTGTCATATGTTCGCTGTTGTTTTGTTTTTTCTATATTTGCAATTTCTATGATTATATTATTATTGTCTTGTGTTACCCGCAACGTGTGCTTTGAGGTTACAGAAACTTTTCTGTTTGCCACCCCTTTATTTCCAAAGAAAAACTATATGGATGATGAACACTGCACAGACAATAAAAGCATGTTTTTTCAATATGAAATATATATTCAGCTAAAGAAAACTAATTTCATTAAAATCTTTTTCCAGTATGCTGTCACCACTATTTTATCTGTGATCAACATTATATTGTTCATCAAAAGTGAATATCTCTTCACTGAATTCGATAGTATTTTAATGGTACAAGTTTTCTTGCTGTTCTCGGTGACTATTTCATTACTGTGGATTACCGAAATATTGAGACGGATAAAGTAAGTTGTTTTTTTGTTTATTGTATTTGATTGATGATTTTGATTTATTATTTGAATTAACTTTTTTTTTATTTTAGGAATATACTTTTTAATTCTAAGAAGTCTGGTCATTGTCATCGTTTATTTAATATAGTTCTGATCATTTTTCAAGTTTCTATCTTTCACGTTACATTATACCAGACTTTTAAAGGTTTTTCCAAACTTTCCAAATGAAGAATGCAACCGGAAAATTGATTGTTAGACGGGAACGTACAGTTGTAACCCTCTTTTAGAAAGAAAGAATGTTGTCACAATTTACGATTCGAAATAGTTGTGGAGAATTTTTAGACGAATTCTTCTTAAAATGAATGTTTGAAATTTGACAAACGTTTTTGTTGTAGCGCGTTTTATCATTCTTGTAAGTACAGTACATAGCTCCAATGTAGCATAGGAGCTTTTTATAAATGTATCTAATGAAATTTTAAGACAAATGTTTTATAGCACTTATTTTAAAATTATTTGGTGGCTTATGTGTCTGTATTCATTGTAAGTATAATAGTTTCTCACAGAACGTTTGTACTGTCAAATTATCTCGACACTAAATAAAACTGGCATATTACACATCTCATGCAGTGTATATGAAATTTAAGATCGATTATAAAAAGTTCTAACGAAACGAAACTGTTCATTAACCACTATATACTATAGTATATAATAATACTACCGTTCACTTTTAGAATTTATTTCAAATTTTCTAATTAGGGTAAATTCTCTGGCTTCACATATGTGAGTGGAGAGTCTGCACCTGGAATGTATGACCCATTTACATCATACATTCAAAAAATACTCTTGATACATTAATTAATAATAAATAAATTCTAACATTTACTAATTTCTTTTGTATATGTAAATGCAGTTTAACACATTTGAGTTCATTTTGATACGTGCTTCTTGTCCTTTATTACTTATACACTCACTGGCCAATGAATTAAAAACCCCTTGCATATTTATTAAAAGTAATTTTGCAGCTTATGTGCAAAACACTTGAGTCGTATGTGTCACAATGTGTTCAGAAGCTCCTATTTAAGAATGCTGCTGCTAAATATAGTCATTAAGTTTATTAAAATTGGAAAGGCGAAGGACTTGACAGTTTCAAAAAGGGCTAATTATAAGTACCCGTTTCCCTGGAAACATGATTTTAAGAACTGTACAGCTGACTGGTTTTTCCAAAGACGAGTTATCCCTAGTGTTTAAAATAAATGAATTAGCCCATTTTTTATCATGTTATTCTCCATGTTATTTTATATAGCCTTTGAAAAATTTTGTTATTATATATCTATTTATTTTTATTTATCTAGATTTAGTTTACACTGAAAAAATTAAA